GCAGCTCATTTCATCCTGTAGTCGGCTTTGTTTGTGGAGCAGAAAACGACACCATTGGAACTGTGGTGCCACCAGAAATTTGTGCCAGCGTCTTACACACAATTAAGTTGATGAAATGGTATCAAACTTTTTTTTTGTTCACTTTTGCATGGTATTGTGCTGTATATTTTCAGGCTTTAATTGAAACTGAGGGCTGGTGTTTCTTTTGCATGTTGCTCTGTGGTTCACTTCACTCCCATCACTGTGTAATAGGTTTCAATGAGGTGTTTTCAGACAGATGGTGTACCCTGCTGTCACATAAATAAAGCATGTGTAGGTGTAAAGTAAAAGATTTGAAAATGTGCAAGGCTTTATATAGCTAGTAGCTGTCAATTAAAATGTGCTTTGATCATGTTGATCACAGATTCTTGTGTATCTGATCAAAACATATTGTATTCTCAGTCTTGCTTCACAGTATGGCTGCACAAATGATACTATTACAGGCCTTTGGCAAGACTTGTGCAAACTGTAGACCTACAAATAGACAACAAAAAAGTGTGTAGCTGCAGAAGCATAATACGCTTTTTGGAATCAAGTTTAGTTAAACAAAAGAAGGCACAGAAAGACTAAATGCTGTGCCGTTTTAATTTTTTATTAATGTTGAATAAAGACAAATGTACACTGGGAAATGGGCAGCCTAGAGCAGGAACATAATGTTGTCTTACCATTCGACAAAGACATGTTTGACAACCTCTGACATCAGAGAGATGATGGTTATATACCAACACAGCTCATCTTTGCAGTGGCTTTTAGCAACTGACTTTTATATTTCCAGTGCCTCAGTTCCCTGAGCTCACCAAAGAGACTTGCATGACTGTGCAAGACCAAAAAAAACATAAAGATGTTTTTTCATTATGATGAATTCTCTATCATCTTAAAGTTCAAGTTTCAAGTCTTTGACGTTTGAATTGATGCTTTTTCAAAAAAAAGTTGTTGAAGCCTGGAAAGCCTTGAGGCACAGAGCTTTTTATTTTCTGCACCCAGCTGGTTGTGTAAAGCAGAAAGAAATACGGTGATTGATTATATTAAAGGCTCATTCCACCAACTTCCAGGTCTCAGGGACTACGGCATAAAGATGACTACATCTATGTAAAGACAGAAGTGAGCTTAGCAGACCTCTTTGGGCCCTGCCTCACCTTTGCCTGAGGCCACATTTGTCATTAACGGCAAAATTTTGAACCAAACTGTGAACAAGTTGCATTGTAATTTGCACAGGCACCAGAGTTTGACAAAAAAAAAAAGAACAAGGGAATAAAAATGACAGTATCTCTGGTTCTGCTGTATTGATTTTGAATCATTAAAGGTCCCATGTTGTCGCTCTTTTTCAGCAAATTCATCATATGTCTGACATGTCCCCAGCTCAAAGTAGTGTAACGATGGTTCATTTTTATCATGATTGTTTTAACCCTGGTTTTGACACAGTTCTGTATGGGCTGTTTCAGTGTCTGTAGTTTTTATTGTAGCTGAGCTGCTGTCCATACCCACTTCGGGAAGCAGACTCTCTATGGACTCTCTACTCACTATGATTGACAAAATAGCTGACTGAGAGCAGGACTTTCTCGCGGGTCTAGCTTTTCTCTCTGAAAGTATCGCCCAGTTTACAGCACAGTTGTTGTCTTTGACTTGGTGAGTTTGTTAGATAACGTTTTGGTTGTAAAATCAGTAGTTCAGCAGTGCAGAGCATTAAATTGTCTAACTACAGAAACAGACACATTTGTCAATAAATGGGATTTTGGCTGTATTAAAATACTGTCTGACATCCTGAAAACATACTAACCCACCCAATTCTTGTTTATTGGTTTTAAATCAGTCTTAAAGTTTTTGCCCTCTCTTAATGTCCCTCAGCTTTACAATTTCCACAGAGGATTTCCCTGTTGTTGTGGTGACACTGGCATTGAAAATAAAAGTAATCTACTGGAGCTTTAGTTTCTCTGATGCTAGCAGTGCATGAAGGCTATTGTGTTTACTTTTGCCGTCCACAGCAGAACATTTGATGAGCTTTGGTTGTGACTGAGACATTTTAGACATTTGGTATAAGCAGCTCAAGAAAATTAAGGAAAAAATAAACAAAAACCTGGTGGACTGTGAGGCAGCTGCTCTTTAGGATTGGCTCAACTTCCAAGCATCCTGTAATGAGGGGGGCAGGATTATACCGAGTCTGAGCTAAACGACTGTTGGTTCTTCAGCTGGTAGGTAGCAGCTGAGTAAACTTCATACTGGCTTGTAAAGCTGGGAGGCTATCTAGTTGTGGGGAGGCTTTAGGAATGTCAAAAGTAAAAGTATTTATATCCTAATAGTTTTTACTTTACACCTCCAAGTTTATAACAACCACAAAAACAGATTTTACCCTATTGCACCTGTGCGGCCTGTCCTACAGTGTTATAGGAGTGCAATGTTGAGTTAGTACTCTTTTAAACCACCTACTGATCCACAAGATGGAATTCATTAATTGTCATAATGATCTTTCATATAAGAAGAGATGCTTAAATCGCAGTCCTTTCAAATCAATCGTTTTTTATTTTTATTTTGCCTCAGATAAATTATTAAAGGAATGTAAGCAGATAGATAACAGGGTTGCTAAAATCTTCACACAAGCCAAAGCAAAGTCTTGCACATGGCTTTAAAAACACTAAGGCTCCCCTGAGGAAGCTACAGTAAGTATTTATAATGGAAAGGAATAACTAGAATAAAAAAAACTACATTACAAAAAGCAGACATTGTCTAAAGCTTCATAGTGACATAATATGCAAATGAAGTGTTGCACAAACTTTAAGCAGCTCAAAATGAATGCACATGCTAAAAATAGCTTTGCTATAAATGTTAACAGTGCAGGTCCAAGGAGGGCAGGTAAATCAGGATGGCAGCTCTCAGAGGGGAAAAAAAAAACTGACTGTGGGTGGAATAATGGGCAAGTAGTGTTTTTCAGAAAGGCTTTGAAGGAGACAATGAGCTGGGGTGAGCAGGGCGGTGGCAGTCCTGACCTCACATTTTTCACCTAAATGCCAAGCAGCTTGGTTAGGAACATAAATCCAGGGGATGTATCCTGCTGCTGTGTGGACACTTACACTCTCCAGATGTTTCGAGAGCACAAACATAGTCTGTCAGAGTTTGCTAACTCCGAGAGAGTGAATTAGTACAATGATACAAATTGGAGTGGGAGACCAACTGGGGCTGAGATGTTAATCTTATTGGAGTGTTGAAAGTGTGCCTGGCCAAGCTAAGCCAATAATTAACATGAGCACAGGGTGCATGTGGGCCACGGTGCCATTTTAATAGGGATTGCTGAATGTATGCTTGGCATGGCTGGGCTAATTGGAGAAGGGTGTGCTAGTAATGCACCTCAGTCCATTATCTCTGTCACCATGGGAACTAGATAAGGATAATTAGCTGGACAGCATGGCACGGTGCAGCGGCAGCTATAGGCACGAGGAGCCGGATTAGGGATGCATGCAATGATGAAACTAATAGAAATAGATTTCTCACAAACTGTGTAAAAGATTGAGTAAGTCATTCACAATTAAGCGGCGTCAATATTCCCTTCATTCATCTCAGCCTCGCTTCCAGCTGGCGTTCTTTGTCATAGTTACTGTCTTCCTCCTTCTCTCGCCTAATTTATCACTTTTTTTCCTCACCAAAAGCTATAATTGGGAATAATAAAATCATCGTCCTGCTGAGAACTAATCCATCTTCTCTTTCTTTACTTAAATCTTTGCGCTTATTCCAGCTCTCCTCCCCTCCTGTACTCTCACTTTTCATTTCATCTGCATCCACTGCAGCCTGTGTTTCCTCTTTTTCCTATTTCATTCCTCACATACTGACTACATCAGGTCTGGGGTAGAGTAACTGTGAACTGAGTGGAAGGAACCTTCATGTGGGAGGTGGATTTATTTTGTTCACCTGAGACATAAACTGTGAAGCAGTCTCACAGAGACGCGAAACTTGAAAGGGAAAAGTTAGTAGGTCGTCCACATTCTTACGGTGGCATTTAAACCTACTTTGTTTTAGTCTTTCCTCTACCTCCTGGGGCAGTTTTCACTCTAAAATCCTGGGTGTGACTCAACCCTGTGTCCCATTTTCCTGTTTTTCTTCTGTATACCACCTCTCTCGCTCTCTGTCCGGGTGGTCCAAGCCAGTAGCACCCCCATATTTTCTCCTCTTTTTTTTTTTTTTTTTTGCCTCGCCTCTGTTCCCCCCTCTCTCTTTCTCTTTCCAGTTTTGTCCGTACTCTGTGTGAGCAGATGGCCAAACAGGCAGATCTGTTCTTTCTCTACAGGACTTTGGATCTCGTACAATAGGCCTCAGATTCCTAGGCCATACTCAGTTCTGCCTGACTGGGAAGCTAAACAAAGAGAGGAAGGAGAAGAAGAAATAAAAGTGTTTTGGAGAGTGCTACAAGGAAGAGAAGTTACTTCAAAGAGCTTTTGTGTGTGTGTGTGTGTTGTTTGCACATGGTTTTTCATGTGTTTCGCTTTATGCAGGACGGAAGTGTGTGTTGGAGGAGTAGTGTGTTTTTAATGAGACTGTGTTGTAAAATGTTTTTTTTTTCTCCTTAGATTACTGTGACTTTCTGATATCATTTTTATGGAATGTTTTATAGCGTTATAGTATTTATTTATTTATTTATTTTAAAGCGACATTCGCACCGAGGCTCCATGAATGTCAGCGTCAGCTTGTCAGTGGCTCTTCCACTTTGGTACAGGCTGAAATATCTCAAGAACTATTTGATGGATTGCCGTGAAAATGTGTACAGACATTTAGGATCCCCCGAGGATGTATCCGGAGGACTCTGGCGATTCCCTGACATTTCCATTAACGCCACCATGAGGCTGACATTTGATGTTTTAAGAAAAACGTCTCAACAACTGCAGACTGCCATGCCATTCCTCTGCAGTCAACATGATTCTCATCTACCTCCTTCTCCATCTTACCTCCTGTTCCTCTCTCTCCTCCCTCTGTTTCAGGTACTACATGTCTGGTGGCTCTGCTGTCTGATAAGGAGTTGACGGTGGCGAATGTCGGAGACTCTCGCGGAGTTCTGTGTGATAAAGACGGCAACGCCATTCCTCTATCACATGACCACAAACCTTACCAGCTGAAAGAACGCAAGAGGATCAAGAAGGCTGGTAAGGAAACCACTGCAGTCCAGACCAATCCATTTTTTTTTTTTTTTTTTACAGAGCAAGACTTCAGTTAAAACTTGAGGGAACATCAGAACTCAGATTGTTGTCATGAAAGCGTAAAATAAGTCTTTTTATGATCAAAGCTGAGAACCATTATCCTGTTTTTTCCCCCACATCTTGTGTCTCTCGCTGACATCAAAACCTACTGACTGATAGCACAATCTGCTTCTAAAGCAGCATGTTATCAAATGCAGCCAGACAGTGCACAGTATTTAAGGTGTATTTGCAGGCATAATTCTCCCTCCAACCCTATCTGCATACTCTCCGTGCTGAGGAGTTTGATGGCAGATTGCCAGATTAGTCAGTTTGTGTGGTCACTGTTAAGATAGCCCACCATCTCCATCTAATGGACTAGATTGGTACTGAAAAACATCTTACAAATTTCATCTGCATGTTGCTCTTTATTTACTCATAAAACATGCTTGCAGTTGTGATAGTCCAGATGCTGAGATTTTCCAACAGTTTTTAATGACCTTCAGCGAGCAGGACACCTGATGCTTCAATCACAGATTCTGATGCACAGGAGCCATTGTTATACTAGTAAACAGTCCTCTCTCATGGGGTAGTGTTATTGTGTTGCCGCAGTGTTTGTCCTCTCTCTGTGACACATCCTTGTAACAGATACTCAAGAACATTTAATGATAGAGACTTAATACCAGCGCCACAGGTTCCCCAGGCAAAGCTGATGATCTCATTTGATTATGGCGCACCCTGCTGCATAAATTAGCCTATTAATGAGTGAAACCTGATTTTCAAAACTTTTCTAACTCCTACTTGATAAACTCAGTCTAAGTTAAGTGCATAGAAATGCACTTAGAAACAAAAAAGGAAAAATGCTAAAGAGAGTTAAACTCCCCTGTCAGCACCAAGTGTGGTGAAACTTCAATCACAGAGCTTCACTGACATCAAACTCACAGTATGATATAACATCTTAAAACTGGAGCTAAAGCAACCAATAAGAAAGAGAAAAATCACAAAAACTTGAGACAAATTAATTGATTTAAAAAAGGCAGGGCATGTATCTTAAGGGCCACAGAATCCTTAACTTAATAGTAATTATTTCTGTTAATGACAGGCTTTTAACATGTTTATTTTTTATTGTAGTATAATACAATAAGACGTCCTTCCCAAACTTCCTCCACTATTTTGAATGCTGGGTTATATTAATCACTAATTTAGCATTTCCTAACTAGATTTTTAAAAAAATCTTTTTCTGTTGCTTTTAGTGGGTATTAAATGTGTATGTTTGTTGGCATTTTTTATCAGCTGTTAATAGCATAAATGGCTTGTGTTTGCAATTTGACTCCTTTCGATTGTCCTGCTGTAGGACAAAGATTTAGTTTCATCCTGTAAGTTTAGTGCGTCATAAGAGTCTGTGACTGAAATCCTGCCTTGTAAATACTGCTGACAGTATATACACAAACTCCTACATAGGGAGGGAAATTAATTTCAAATAAACACAATTCCTTAGTTACGTAAAGAAAAATAAATAGACAAATGCTAAGTGAGGGCAGAATTGTTGCCAATTAATGCAATTATTAGCTCAGCTTCTGTCCTCAGCAGTTAATTACTGAGGTTGTTGCCTCATAGCCCATAAAGAAGACAATAGAAAATGTCTGAAAGTCCTTTTTCTAATTACAACTTGTACAGAACATTTACTAACAACATGAGCTAAAGAGGCAGTAGCTGCTGTCGTAGCCACTATTGAGGTCGTGTCCTCTGCTTTTTCAGGGAATGTGAGGATTTTCGTTAACGTAGTGCACTTTACAATAGGAAGTCACACATAATGGGATTCTTCAGGCTGGCACCAATACTTTACAGCCTGTCATGGCCTGAACCTTCAACCTGAAGTATTTTTTTAAAATCCTGGTTAGAGCCACACTCACTGGGGACTAGGAAGGCATCCTGACCTAGTATGGAAGTCTCCATCTTATCCAGTCATTTCCAGTAAAATTCCCTGCCTGCAAATCTGCTGAAGCCTTAGAGGACACACAGCTGTACTTGCAGGATGTGACATGAACTGAAACTTATCCAACATAAACAGTTCGTCCTGCGAGCCCAACGTTGAGTGAAAACATGTCAGTGGCACCGATCCATATTAATATTTGCACTCTGATGCAAACACAGTGGCTTTAGAGTTAATAAAAGTGATTAGACTTGCTGCCAGTTGTCTCACGAGAAGAAAAAATCTCATTTCAGTGGTTTAGTTGCTGGAGAATGATCTGTTTCTCTGCTTGTCCTGTCATCTTTGTGTTCCTCCTTTTTGCTTTGTTATCATTCTTCTCCACATTCTTTCTCCCTCCCTCCCCTCATGTCCTCGGCTTTTCTTTCACTCCCATCTCTCACTTTTCCAATATTTTTCCCTCCGGCTTCCTCCTCAGGTGGCTTCATCAGCTTTAACGGCTCGTGGCGTGTTCAGGGCATCTTGGCCATGTCCCGCTCTCTGGGTGACTACCCTCTGAAAAACCTCAACGTGGTCATTCCTGATCCCGACATCATGTCCTTTGACCTGAACAAGCTGCAGCCCGAGTTCATGATCCTGGCATCAGACGGCCTGTGGGACACCTTCAGCAACGAGGAGGCGGTTCGCTTCATCAGGGAGCGACTGGACGAGCCGCACTTCGGAGCCAAGAGCATCGTCCTGCAGTCGTTCTACCGTGGTTGCCCCGACAACATCACCGTCATGGTGGTCAAGTTTAAAGGCAAGGCCAACGAAAAGTAGAGCCCGCCTGTCTACCACACACAGTATCTGTATTATGTGTGAATATAAATAAGAATAGGCTTAAGATGAAAGATTTAAAAACCGCTTTTTGAGCGAGAACTATTTCTATCGCAGATATTTACAGCAGTTTGCCCTTCGATGCATCAAACCTCGTCCCCCCCCTCTCCCTCTTTAATTTTACTGCTATAAAGTGACACTATGAAAATGTCTTTCATTTAGGCTTAGCCATATCTTTGAGACACGGTAATGCGAGCTGGGTCACTGTTATGCAAATAAACAGATTTAGCTTTGTGCAGCTGTGGGTCTGCACACGTTCCTACGTCTGAGTGTGTATGTGTGTGTTCGAGGGTGAGCGAGAGGTGAAGCAGTGATAGATGTCTGTCTGTGATAAACTTGCACACGAGTCTCACGTTAACAATTCATTGTCCGGCCAATAACGACAGATTTAAAGGAAGCATGGAGTTTGGTTTCCATCTTATTTCAAACGTGATGTCTGTCACTCATCGTCTATGTGACCACTAAATTTAGGATTTTTAGTTTTCTAACTCGTGTGTTTCCACGTCGTCTAACTGTACTGACAAAGTGACGCGCTGAAATTCTGTCGTTGAACGCGGTGGCAGGTTATCCAAGTATGAATCATCAACACAGATTTATACATGAACACCACAAACGATAATATGCCTATGCTTCTTATATTACTGTTCTTATTGTACAGCAATAGAACCGACTACGTTGTCATATCACATTTGCTGGACATTATGGAAAATCTTGATGTAAGGATGGATGTTTTGTCACGAGTTTCCCCATTTTATAAGTTGACTCGTTGAGCGTCTTCACTTACGATTACTGATTGTTTCTGTTCTCATGAAGTCTCATGTCTGTTTTATTTTTTGAATAACTTTACGTTTTTTTTTTTAAAGCTGAGCTTGATCTGCTCTTTTTTTCTGTTCAGACCCAACTTATCAGGATCTGTGTAACTGCTAATGATGTAATAACTGTTGGATAATATTGTAGCTTGTCAAAGTGTAATGAAATGTCCCTTTAAATAAATATAACTTTCCATATAATGGAGTGATAATGGAGTAACATGTCATTATGACTAACCGCTAATTACTAGTTCTTAAAGTTTGTCACACATTATCTGAAAAAATAACTGTTAATCTAAAAGTGCAAGAAGAAGGTAAAGTTTTAGTTATCCCATGAAATAATTTGAATACTTCTAAATGACAGTTTTAAATTTGCTATTATAATATTATTTAGGAATTTCTATGACTATGCTAGATGAACAACCTTTTTCAAAGACTTAATTCTTAAATATTGACCTGCTATTCCCTTATCTGACTTTTCTTACATTATCGTTTGCTACTATCTACCTGGGATATGAATATACTGACAACTTACTGTTATATTTTCATCTTTTAATACCGTGTCGTCTTCACTAAGACGAGCGTTCTTCATCCTAATCTCTAAACTCAAAATGTAACAAGCCTTTGAATGAGATGAGTTATTGTTGCCTTATTTTTTTAACTGTTCATGTCCTGTTCTGAAGTCTGCTGCCAAAACTACTTGTCGGTTTTTTCGATGTAATGCAGTCGACCATACCATGCACAATGCACGACCTCAGTGTCACACCTTGTTGATTCAAATGTAGAATAGCATTGTCGAGAGAATGTCTCCAAGAGACATGAAATTGTAAGATGAATGTACATACTGTCCTCCTGTTAGTATCACCCCTCCACTGTTTAATACAGCAACGCGCCTGTTCCCCAATTGTTTAACTTGAGAGATATATACCAGATAAAACTGTTTGTGCTTTTTCAGTTCACATTCTTCCTTGATAATGTACGTTACAGAATGTTTATGTGGCATTTGTACTTGTTTTTGTTGACTTTAATAAACTGTAAAAAACAAACAAAAAAAAAAAAGAAAAGAAGAAAGAATTCAGAAATTTTAAAATGTAAATCACAAAGGTAACATTAAAATGATAAATGATCATGTCGTCTTCTGCTTTATTCCATACATAAGCAGTACCTTCTACAGATATGACAAAGAGACAACATGGGCATAAAAATATCATAAAACAGCTGTGCCCTTACGTTGTGTATATTCTTGGGAGGAAATCTCTCATTCAAAAGAGTAATGGTGATGAAAATACAACACTTTTCTTTATATTCTGCACAGATGTTGGTTAACTTCTAATGGCACACATTTATCACATTTAAAACAACATGAATATCAATATTCTCACCAAATATCACGGGGAGTTCTTCATTTCCCAAACTCTCTGCCACTGTTGTTTTTCTTGTTGAAATAGAGAAAATGCAGCAAAAAGTTTCGCTAGAAATCCAGCAATGATCTCTAACTTTGACATAGCTTGATTTTAGTCGGTTTGTGCCACCTGCTGGGTGAGCAGAAGATGTTAGATTTACTGTTAACCATCTCAGATCATCAGAGGCCTTCGACTGGACCATCTGTGATTTGCTGGAAACATGTTCTTTTATCATAATCTGTGGATATTTATCTATGGATATTTAAAATGGTATCTGTGAAATTTTAGAACGATCTATTAAGTATTTTGAGCTAACTTTTTTTAAATGCTCGTTGACCCACTTTTAGCACAATTTTTTTTGACACATTGAAATTTGAGGCTGTTAGGACGACGATATCTTATTACATGTTGATATTAACTTCATGTCAGTATGTTGATATTAACAACATTGAACATTTCCTTTCAGTTATTTCTCATCATGCCATTAATCTTTTTTTCCCTTTTGCAATCACGTATTTCATATTTACAAGTATTCTATCTGTATTGTTTTGTATCGTGCCATTCTGCATAATTTTTTTTGTTTTTGCTCAAAGATGGGACTTTTCATGACTCCCTATTTTTCATATTTCAACAAAGATAAATAATAATTAGCAGCAATCAGCAGCAATTAGGATCAAATAATCAGCAATTATTTGATCCACTTATTCAATATTGAAATTTCTGAATGAACTGAATGATGAGAAATAACAGTAAAAAATTCAGGCTTTTATCTTTAACAGCTCCTGAGATATTCAAATACAGCCTCACATTTTTAATGTGAGAAAAAACATGTGTGATGGGCAATTTTGTGTCTCTAAAAGTATTTGATATGTTCGGTTAATCAGGCAAATCAGAGATGGTCGAGCAGAATTTGTTCTAAAAAATTGGTTATTTGAGATGGAAGGAGTCTATGTTCGGGCTGGGCAATGACAATATTTCATTCTTTTTACTGACATGATGATCAACTCAATGTTTATTCACACTAATCAATAAATTAACTGTCTGACTCCCATATATAAAACTGAGAACAACAACTAATGACATACACCCAGACATCCAGTAAGGAAACTCACGTTTAAGGAAACAGAATCAGAAGTCAGCCAGCGTAAGAAATCAAATTTGATAAATGATGGTGTTACAGTTTATCATTTAGATCAAATTATCCAGCCATGCTGCAGTATAATACCAGACTAATGGTGCAGTCAATCATCATAATTCAAAAGATGTTTTATGTACATGTGAGATGAATTACAAATTCCCAGACACTGAGAGCTTTCTGGAAGCTTCGTTTTCAGCAAACGTTTTGTCAGCCTAAAGATAAAACTACATTTATCCTCCAGCCAAAAAATGTTTGCTGTGATGTCATTGCTGTGAGACTTCCAGCCAGGAAGTAACACAATCTTCCCGTTGTGCCAAAGATGGACTTCCTGGCTGCTGGTGTGTATGATGATCCGGGGCAGGTGTGATGTGACTCCACTGCAGCACGCTGTGGTAACCAGAGAAGTGCATTCTGCCCCACTTAGTTGCACCGTCACTTTGGATATAAATAGCTTTACTGAAAGCCACGCAGGGACTGAAGGAATCCTGTCACAACAGAGGGGAGGGATCACTTGGTCCTCATAAAAGACCAGACACACTAAGCACACAGAGAGAATACTTTACACAGTTACACCAGAAGAAGGAGAGGCCACAAGCTGCACTCTCAGGACATGGGTATGCACGGATCCAAGCCTCGGAAACAAGCGCAGGTCCTGATGCTCGGCCTGGACGGATCAGGAAAGACCACCCTGCTTTACAAACTCAAGTACAACGAGAGCGTGGTGACGGTTCCAACCGTGGGCTTCAACGTGGAGACGCTGGAGACGGACAGGAGCAGCCCAGGCCTGACTGTGTGGGATGTGGGTGGCCAGAGGAAGATGAGGCCCCACTGGAGGCATCACTACACCGACACAGCCGCACTGGTGTTTGTGGTGGACAGCCGGGACCAGAAGAGGCTGGACGAGGCCTGCAAGGAGCTCCATCGGGTAATTAAACATTGACAAGCGCTTTATCACTTTAACACCGCTTACTTAGCAGTATATAAACACTTAAAGCCATCCTTCACTTAAAAATGCACCTTTCTTACTTAGCTTGGATGTTTGACCTTCAGTGCGCAGAGTGATGCGTGTGCAGAGTTTGACAGTTGAAGGCAGTTTTCACATTCGTCTCCTGAAAGTAGGAAAGTTCCTCACCTTAAATCTGAGCTTAAAACATGTACGTACAAGCAGGCATATGTAAAAATAAAGAGTCTGGAATCCAGTAATGGTTCAATATGCAACTTAAACAAGTAACTCGAAGCCTACAGTTGCTCACTGATGTGTTTTTCAATGAAGGAGAGGAAGTAGATGTAATTTTATAAGAACTTCCAATTTCTTTTTTGTGGAAAAACAATATTAGGTACAAATTCTGTTTTTTTATTTGTGCCTTAAAACACAAGTAAACATGCATAGAAAGAAAAACAAATAGCTTGTAGAACACAATACTGTAGGTGCAAGCTGATCCGAGGATGTTTAAAAGTGTTTTTATGCAGAAATAAGCTCATAACTAAGATTGAACATTAAAAAGAAAAAAGAAATGTTCATGACCGCTTATATTTCATGAGGATCGCTTGGCTTTTATTGACATAGACCGTGCTCAGTTGTCATGCAGAGTAAAGAAGAAATATGTCTAAATGAATAAATGCTTAATCTAGAAATAATTAAATAAATATGACGTGAAAATAAATACACATTTTATTACAACAGTTTGATATTGGTGACTCTGTAAAGATTTAATTCAATTCAATCCAATTCAAATAACTTTATTTATCCCCTAGGAGCAATTCAAAACATCACTAAGTATTTCATATAAAGACATAAAGCAACAACAGCAACAACAAAAAACAATATTAGTATTAAGAAAATCAGTATTCACTGTTTGTAGGGCAGTTACACGTTCTTGATAGGGGAATTCTGTAGAAAACTACACTATAATGTGTTAGAAACCATATATGAAGGGTTTATATACAACTAATCAATGGGACAAATGAAGAGTTTAAAGTATTCAAATGCTATATTTCCATGCAATGAGCAAGTTTAGCTAAAAAGTTTGTTTTACGCTGTACTAATCCAAATGTCTTTGATGGACTTCCTAGGTCCTGAGGTACGAGAGTCTCAGAGGAGTTCCCCTCGTGATTCTCGCCAACAAACAGGACCTTCCTGGTGCTCTAAGCCCTGAAGCTCTTTGCCTGAAGCTGGACTTGAGGAGAGTGTGCGACGGCCGCGACTGGTTCATCCAGCCCTGCTCGGCCACCACCGGGATGGGTCTGGAAGAAGGGTTCAGGAGGGTAGTTTATCTGATGAAGACCCCCTTGAAACAGACTCAGGAGGACATTCAAGATAAGATGAGGTCTAAAGGCTTCAGTGTCACAGCTATGAAAAAAACTTTGCTGTGTGGAAGTTGATGTACAAACATTTTTTTTCTTTAGTTTTATTCATACCATGTGCAGGATTCCTCCTCGCCTGCCGGAGCAGCTCATCAGTGAGCAACCTGACTGAGACATACCTAAGGTTGAAGAATGATACTGAGACAGAGATCAGGGTGTGTCTGTGTGGTAGAGCTCTTAAGGAATCGTGAGGAAGATATTGGATGGTGATGATAGATTCTGTGATTCTGTGAGAAATCCTAAAATCAGTCAGACACAAAATGTGCACAGAAGACTGAGAACAAATGAGGCTTTAACAAGTTTACGTGGATCCAAGATTTATTTTTTCCACCTGTGCTGATTTCTTTCTTTATTTTTATTATTTTTAATATCTGTATGTATGTCTGTATGTAGCTGTATTTATTTATTTGGAATTAGTGTCATTTCACAATTTGTTAAACTGTGAATCTTTTCAGCAACAAAAACATGACACAAACATCTGATACTGTATAAGTCTGATACTGATGTCATGTGTTCAAATCTGTCAGCTCATGTCATGTTTTATGCATTTGTGGGCTGATGCTGTTGCACAGTTCATAAATATGTCTGTTTGTTGTACTGAAATAAAAATATCTGCAGCTGAATGGGTTGGTTCTGAGTTTATGACAAAATAAACAGTATGAGAAGAATTAAAATCCTACATCAATGCATCAATGTATAACTTACCATTAGAGATAAATGTTCTAACAATCAAATTCTTAGATCTTAAAGGATATGTTCACATTTTTTTCCAATCGGTTTTAACAGAATGCTCTCATGGAAGCCCATTTCTGCCACTTCAAAAAAAAAAAAAAGTCACATAATATGTCATAATAATGAGAAAAGACATCATGACATAGCAAGTCATAATTATGAGCAATTTTCTTTAAACATAGCTTTCCCTCTTTGTTTTAAAAAAGTTTTAAAAAGTGAGCGAATGATGGTGATGATGTTTTTTTAATGCTTCAGAGCCTGCTTTATGAAATAAACTTGAGTTGATCTAATTATTTTTTTTCTACTTGGCAGCGCAGTCTTTTTGTTATGTTATTTGATTAACACAATAAAAACCCTTTTTTGAAAAACATGATCATGATTTTAAACTGGACCTGCAAACTATAGGTGTAGATTAATGAACAAAACTGTAATTATGTGGTATTAAATGGATTTACAGGAGTTCAATGAGTGCTTTATCATGGTAAATGCATTGGGTGCATGACTAGAGTAAATCCACGTCCAGCTACCGGTGTATAAAATGCATATGTATAGGAGAGTAAATTAAATGTAATGATTAAATCATGTGGCGTAGCCTGCAGATAGACGTTAACAGGGAAGCCAATGAGAGTCCGGGGGATTTCCCCACCCTTCCTCTACGCCAGAGCGAGGCTGCCCTCCACCACCGGCATTCCCAGTATGCACCGCGGACAGAGCAGCAAAAAATAGTCCGCTAACGAACGGCTCAGAAAAGGGAACCAGAAAAAGAGGGGTAGCTCAGCAGCTAAATCCACGAATTTAACTGTATTCAGCGCAACCAGAACTGCTACCATGGCTGACAACGAGAAACTGGACAACCAGCGGCTGAAGAATTTCAAGAATAAGGGCCGTGATTTGGAGGTAAAAGTTGTGCGGATCGGTGTCGAGGATCTCCTCTTTTCCTCGCCGCCGCCGCTCTCTTCACGGCCAGCTTCGGCTCTCGGCTTCGCTGTGACGTCGTTTCTAATTTCCACCATCGGGAACTTTGTACCCAGAGCCCCGGCCGGGGCCTGCGCACATCGGCCGTTTTAGGTCGCCGGCCTCGGCAGGGCGATTCCCCGTTTGTTCTGAGCGGTTCGGTTCCACTATGAGACCGCGTTGGTTATAAAACATGTCAGAAAAGCCAGTCAGAGTTGATCGCCTCGGCTGGAGGTGCGCTGCTAGCCCGCTGCTAGCCAGGCCCACGGGGGACATGCTAGCTTAACTGAAGCATATCGCCCCACCGGATCGGTTTAGCTCGGTGTGTTAGCTTATGAAAAGGCCCACAGCCCTTCTAAAAGTACACGCAGTTGATTTTTATGTTGTTTGTGGGAATACTGACTCTGCTGCCAAGCTAACGTGGCGGCAGATTAACGTTATTTTGATGCTGCAGTTAGCGAACCTGCGTGCTAGCCTGTCGCTAGCTAACGGTGGTTGGGGTTGGTGGTGCTGCTGGTGGTGGCTGCAGTTCCACCCATCCCCCGTCTTTATAATCAAAAACAATGGCGGAAACCAGTCAGCCTCTTAGCAGCCCAGTTACCGAGGTCTTAAGTCGAGGCTTGGTGTTACATTTTTGTGTCCTGCTTTAGTAACATTACACACGCTCGGGGAAGTGCGTTAACCCGAGCAGCTAGTTAACGTGATTACATGACTGATAGATCAAAGCTACACGTTAGCTAGCGTCGGCTCCATAAGTTAGCAGGTGATTTACAGTCAGCTCAGCGTGTCACCGTGTCACTAATGTTTGCTGGTGTTCATGTTGTCTTCAGGCGGGCTCGCTTGAGATGTATATAAGCAGGATATACTCATACATCCTGTTTGACGAGTCGTTTCTGGAGCGCGGTAGGCCTCTAGACACGAGTTGTCAAGCCTGGCGACCTGTTTATGACCTGGACTAGTTATAATAAACGTAGTGGCGGTCTATCAATGATTAACACACATTCACTATTTAAATTAAACTATAACTTATATAACACTCTATTATCTATATATATATGCTAATGTGTGCTCACATTAACACTCAACTTCCTTTCCGTTATATACAGCTAGCTTCAACTAATGCTATCTAATACAACAACCCTGTATACAGTTATGTCAACATGAAGGTTATGATATTCAGTTTTTTTTTAAATTTAAATACAGTTACAGAGTTTTTAAAGCTGTCCACCTCATTAAGAATAAAGTACAACTCGTCAAAAAAATATGTCAAAACACACCTATCATTATAATTTAATGCAGCTGAGCAGCATCCATCCTCACAGTCTTCAGGACCCTTTGCAGGACTGCAATCATTTTGGCTTGATGTGACGAACAAAATGGCAGCTGAGCCTGTCTTATCATGATAACTGCTGCTTTTACAAGTGAGAACATGAGTAAAAATAGCGTATATATAAGCATACAGGGGTTGGCTATGCTGTTGAGATACATCAAGTGGTCTTGCAGTAACTTAAGCTGAGTCATATTAGGTCAGCCTTTGCGCCAAGTGTGTTTGGGTGCTGTCATATTCAGTGTGTGGGCTGTTGGCTTCATGCTTCAAGTATGAGGGACTGCTGATCAGCTGCGGTTGCACAAACCGGTCATAAGCAGCGTCCAGTTTTGGCTTAATTGTCCTACATGGTTAGGTGTTACCCTGTTGGGCAGAGGCAAGCTGGGATTAAAGTACCTTGTTGGATAATGTTCATATGTTGTCTTTCCCACAGACTATGAGAAGACAGCGGACTGAGGTAGTGGTGGAACTCAGAAAGGTAATACTTTAAATACATGTCTTTGAGTAACTATGTTTCTTGCAACTACATTATATTTTGGCCTTTTTATGTGCAGATAAACCTTGAAATAATGGACTGAAGTTTTCCAAATGCTAATGGTGACATTCTGCAGGAATATGGAGGAAGTAATGTTTCTGTTTCCTCCACCACAGAACAAAAGAGATGAGCACCTTCTGAAGAGGAGAAATGTGCCCCATGAGGACATCTGTGAGGACTCTGATGTCGACGGAGATTTCAGATCGGTATGGTTGTGTGTCTTCTACTCACAACGAGTCTCCTGCCAGCAGAAAAACAAGTTATCATATGTTTAGTCGTTGGGCTTTAAGGGTAGAGTATTGTATAGCACATGTTAGGCATTGTTGATTCAATGGGAATGACAGCTTGGCAGAAATAGTCTGTCCTGACTGTCCAGTAGTTTTTGCACATCAGATTCATCTCACTGATTAAACACTTCAGAGGTTTAGGACCTGCTGACATTTTGTCCATGTGATGCTGACTGCTTAGCTCTCCTTACTCTGTGACAGTTGGGTGGGGCAGGAGTGTGCACAAACATGCAGGTTGTCTTTCTGTTGTTGGTGTTTTTCTTAAGTAAGAGACCCATTTTTTCCCACTAAATTTAAGACTTGGTAAAATAGGTAAAATGCACCTGGTGAAGCTGTCCCGCCTTCTTTTCACGTGCACTGTTACCATTAATGTTTGAGAGAGATTCAAGGTTGATGCCATACTCGCTTGCCATATCTCCGCAGTAAACAATAGGGGTGCAGCAGTATGTGCATTCCTCTTGAACCTTTCGGTACAGTGTTCAGGCTGAATTTTCTTGGCTGGTACGCTCAGTAGGACAAACGGTTACTGTAAGACGTAGTCTGTTTATCTACGTACTTCGAACAAAAAATTCCAAAAGGCAAGTTCCACCTGCTATGTTTTAGCAGTCCCCCATCGTCACCTACAGCCTGTGTGCTCGTAGGGTTAGCCACAGCGGCTGAGTTCATGTCTAAACTAAAGTGAGAGGCCCGAGCCAGAGGATCCTCCCGTGACATTCAGGTCCATTGTGTGGGAGTGCTACTGTTTCCCGCTTAGGTACAGTGAAAACGGACAAAGAGAAGGGAATTGGACAGAAACTGTGCGCCGATACTGTTCAGCTAAAGTCAGGATGTGGAAACCCTCCAAACATGCTAAGTCATGTACGGTAGCATCACGGACTGGAAAACAAGTGTTCTCCACACAGTGTTCAAACAGCCTCTCCCTGCAGATTCTGAAGCAATAACTGAGAAATAAGCAATAACTTCTAGAAGTTTTTTGCTGCAGATATGAGACCAGTGAAAGAAAATAACCAATGTAGGCATAGGTCAAAGTGCTAGAGGCCTGCTACCACATGCCTTAACGCCTGCATTTTAGGCAGTCTGCTGCGCCTGCCCTGCAAAAATGACTGCAAGCAGCACTTGTGCAGGAATTATCAGCTGCACTGGTGGTTGCGCTCACCATCGATGGATGGATTACCAGGACTACAGAGAGTTACTTAACAGTAATGACCCACTACATACAGGTCAGCGCCGGTGCATTACTGACATTAGTGTTATTTTTCTTGTTGGCTCTTATTGACAGGGTGCCAGCATTTGAGTATCTTAACTGACAGTAAGAATAGTAACCAAGGAGACACTGTTAGGGTTTAGATTTTTCAAAATAATTGAAAAAATGAATATAGTTCAGTGTTTGTTGTTTTTTTTTTTAAACTTGGTCTTCTGTATCAAAAAAATACACTGAACCATGGCTCCAAAACTGAGAAACATAACGAACTATGAATTTTGTGCGCCATTGCACACCGAGTGAACACCGATGTGGATTTTATTTTCCCTTCTTAGAAAAAATACACATGTGTGTAGGGGCTACCAAGAAAGAGAACTACTAATACTTTAATCTCTTTTAGTAGTTGTGTTACTGGTGTGATGGTAGTTGTGATACACACAGTAGATATTTGCATGCCTTATTAATCTTGCCATAGAAAGATGAGCTATTATGGGGATGCCTTATTGTCTAAATACATGCAATATATTGTTCTGATCCTCAGTTTTGAACCTCAAAAGCTTGAGACTCAACTGTAATTCGTCTGTAGT